ACCAAAGAGACAGAACTGGATGCCCACCAAGGTTCTTTTAGACTGATTACCACTCTTTCATCTGATTTCAGTTGGGCATGGCTTGTGATAAATTCATTTAAATGATTGATGCAAATCAGAACAATGGCAGGAAGTCTTAGTTAACTGTCATTGCTGATGGTCACGCATATGTTAGTGTGCTGATTTCCTGTTTTTTATAGCTGCCACAAAACTTGTTTCCTTTCCAGAAAGATAAAACCTTTTCTTGTTCTTTCATACTGTATATCAGGTATTTTGCTTTCATCCTTGATCAAGGGAAGTACTTAGCTGATAATTATTTGTTCTACTACACAGTCTTAAGATTCTGGACAGTTTGGGTGAAACTGGCTCTTTCCCAAACTAATAGACGATGTTGTAAAAGGTGAAGAATCCTTGCCTGTCTTGCTCTCAGAAGATGGTTCTGCAGAAGTGAAAAGGCCAGTTGATAAATCAACATTGAAAACTCGAATGATGATGTGGATATCACAGAGTCAAGAAAGTCACTGCACCAATTATTTCTGCTTTTAGAGTTTCAATCTTGTGCATTCTCTCTGGGGAAGTAATGAGATTCAGTGAGATGTTTGCATTTCTAAATTATATAGTTTTTTTCCCTGTAAACCGAACTGAGTTAAATGAAACATCAATTCACGAAAGGGACAAGAGGAAATAAAATGTGTCCAAGAAAATGTCTTCTGTATCAGTAATTAATTTATATTCCTGCCCATGTTCATATCAGAAAATAGAGTTGTTCTTTATGCTTTGGCACGTCAATTACAAGAAACTATGATTTTGCAAGAGCCATGTCATTTCAGACTCAAATACTACTAGTTTAGCAACAGGCTGATACATGGATGGTTTTTACTTGCATGTGCTTCCCTCATTTTGTTCTATTTACCGTAATTACTATCATTAATGTTGATTAGGGTTAGATTTACATTCCCACATCATCCTATAACTGGTGCGCATGAGAGGATCCAAAGGGGATAATTTGCTTAGTTCTTGCCTGTGCATTAAATGGGTCATTGCTGTTTCTCAAAATATAACCGAAGTGTGAATTAAATGCTTGATCTGTAGCCCTCTCATCTGTATAACCAGACTTGTATGTCTCTTCTCTGGTGTGTTGTTGGCATGGCTAATGGTCCTAGAATCTTTTCTTTGTTTCTCATGGCCTTACTGATAACATCATCCATATTGGTATTTCCATATTACATTCAACCAGAACCACCTGAGATACTGATTTTTCTATTTTCAATTATTCCTCTCTTCACCCTCTTATATTCTTTTGTCCTTGCACTGTTTGTGTGGTGATGCTGGTTTGCCATGATGAATTCTGTCACATTCTAGTCTATCGAACTGCACGAGTTTTTCAAGATTCAAGCAGCCATGAAGAGTGAAGATCCATTATAGCATTTGATGAAATTAGTGCATCTTGTTGCGTAACTTTCTGCTGAATAAGGAAGGAAAGAACCCGTTTGACATGATGCGACTCCTTTTCTCTTGTTTTTTTCCTCCTTTCTTTATGGCTTTTTGCGATAGCAATTGAACAACACATTGATATCAGATAGTGAATTTTGTTTTGATGTGCTCATTCTCTTTTCTCTCATTATATTTTGTGCCCACTTCCTCTTATTCAGCGAAGAGTCAGGTTTTGATATCTTCATATCAATTGGAAGATAAAACACCTTTTCGGTTCTGGCTTGTAACATATGCAAAATCCAAAATTTTTATCACCCCTGAACGCTGAAAATATATAGCATGGAAGATCTATTGCCATGAATATCAAAACACAACCATATTCAGCAGAAAGAATCTCCCTGAAAGACAAAGAAATCACAGTACTCGTTGAATAAAGGATTTGAAACACAAGGAAGCAAATGGCTAGAATGCTCCTATGAATGTTATTGGAAGAACAATTCATACAGTCATAATTTTCCCTTGCAATGCCTAGCTAATGCAAGAACAGTCAATAACATCTCAATGAAGTTCTACTATAAGTTAATACAGATGCATAAATGGACCAGAAATCACATCAAGGTAAGATTTGAGAAATATAAATTTCGGGTCCCTGGTTGTTCTTTTGATGATGCTGGGAGACAGCCAAAGACTTGAAACAGTTTGAGATTTTCAACCTTTACCCAGGGCCAAATACTATAAGTTAGCTTGATTGTCTGTATTGGCAGAGCGCAGTTAGCTTGATTGTCTGTATTGGCAGAGCCATTTCCCAGATTAACAAAATCATCATTGTATAACATGTCCAATTCCGGAAAATAAGGGCTCACTGTACTATTTTGAAATGGTTTCTTTGGGGCAGTTCCCAGTGACATTTTGAAGTGCTTGTTGATGTTTTCCCATTTCTCTTTACACTTCTTCGCAGTGCGGTTGTAGCCCATATTGTACATTCCAGCAGATATTGCATCCCAAATATTAGTCCCTTTGGAGCCTGCAACTCGCAACTGTTGTTCCCAAGCAGTTCGAAGCATTATAAGTGCTTGCACCTCAGCTTCTGGCCATCTTCGATTACTTTGGTCACCCATAAAATCATTTTGAATGGGGGCATCAGCATTGCCTCCATCATTCACCATGTGTGAGATTGTCATTGATGGTTGAGGGACTTCGATAACATGACCCGGCATCATGTTCTGGATGAAGGAAATGAGAGCAAGGTTACGAGAAGTCTCTTGAGCCCTAGCCTCACTATCCCTTTTCATCCTTTCCATCTCTTGCTGTTTCCAAGCTTCTTCTCTTATCAATCTCTCCCTTTCTCTACTCTCTATCATCTCTACCAACTGTTTATGCATCTCCTCCTGCTTCTCCATCACTTTGATCACCAAACTCTCCAAAAACTTCTCAATCTTGGACTTCCTCTTTCTCTTCCGACCAACAGATTCACCCATACCAACCGATAAATCATCATCGTTTCCATCACTCGAAGATAAGCTGAAAACAAACAAAACCACATTAACTCAGTTTCCAAAAAACACTTGTTGGATCTAGACTACTACTACGACTACACAATCCCAGGTGGGTTTGGTTTACACTCTTGAATCAATCTGTCCCTCAACTTATCAAAGAGCCAATAATTTCTACCATCATAGCAATCCTCAACCCCATACGAACAGCATATGCATTTGGATCACGATGATCCGAAAACATCAACCTGATCACTATTGCACAAACATACACATTGCCCACTTCCCTACCTTAATAAGAAACGTCAAACTAATCACTATTACGTAAACATACAAATTGCCCACTTCCTTACCTTAATTAGAAACATCAAACTGTCTCAATGTACTGTTGCATTACCTAGCATTCTAAGCAAACTACACCTTAAAAATTACCATAACCCTTTTCTTAATATCTTCAAAAAAGGGTCAATCTTAAATATTAACAAAATGACTAAATAATAATAATAATAAATGAAAAAACACTTTGCAGAAAGCAAAATAAAAAAAAAATTAACTAACAAAAAAAAAAATCTAAACTTTACCTAAATTCATCTTCAAATAAACCTCCACCCGACCCACCACCACCATCAGCCGCCACTTCACTCGGCTGTCCACTAACCAAACCCCTCAGACTCTCTCCCCGGTCCTCCCTAGCACTCGACGGAACCCTGTCAGTTCTTCTAATCGGACGTAGCTTCTGCGGAGGCAAGCTGGCAACCTCACTCGACCCCGCCTCCGCCGCCGAAGGAGCTGCGGCTGAAGTGGGGATAGTAAAGTTGCCGGTGGGCGGGAATGGAGTTATCTGAAGAGGAAAGTCGTTAGGGTTTTGTATTTGCCGGTCACCGGTAATTAATAAATCCATTTTTTACTGTTGATTAAAAAAATTGGCGGCGTTTCAGTTTTTTTGGCTGCGGAGAAGGTGAAATGTGAGGTTTTTAGCAGTAGTAAAAAATAAAATAAAAGGAGAAGGTAAAAAAAAGAAAAAAAGAGGGGTTTTTGAATTTACATATTTGGCCTTCTTTTTTTTGCATATTTACACAAGTTTTGTCCCTGGTCTCTTTTCAAATAGATTATCGCCTGGAGGGTTGACTGAGAATTTTGACCGTTGAAGAAAAAATAAATTATGATATTAATTTGGTTTAATCCAATTAAAAATATATTTTAAACTCACAATTCAGTTATTAGAATAAAATTTAATTCGTAAGTTTTTAATTGTTTTTGAAAATTCAAAAAAATATTATTTACCCTAAATACTATAAAATTTAATATTTGATAATAAAATATATTTTTAAACAATACTTCATATTTTTAGTTTATCATATTTTTAAAAACAATGGGAGGTTAACATGGAAGAGTTTAATAGTGGGATAGCTGAGTTAAATCAAGTTATTTATTTTATTTTATAAAAAATAAAAATAATATTAATTTGAAAAGATAAAAAAATCAAAAGATTCTGAATGGTTTTTTTTATGTTGATTAGGTCATATATTAACTTTAGTTTTTAACTAGATTAAATTTTGTTAATTAAAACTCAACCCGGTTTATACTTAAGTCATTTTGTCAAGTCAAGTTTTTAAGAAATACTTTTAATTTATAAATAATAGCATTTCATATCTTTATAGTTTTTTTTTAAAAATAAAATTGTGACAAGAATATCTTACCGTTACAATCACTTTCTGGATTAAACAATCTTTCTAACGTAGTCAAATGCACATAAGATTTACTGATTCATGAAAATTTTACTTTTCACAACTTGAATATCTTATTTTATGTATTTCTGGTTTTTAAACAATATAATATAATTACTTTGAGACTCATATATAACACTATTTCCTGTAATTAGAGATGATTACAAAGTAATTTCTATGAACAAGTATAGATGAATCATCTGAAACTCGAATGAAATCATACAGTAGTTTACGCATAAGTTCGTCCAGGAAAACATTATTAAAAAAAATAGAAGTATGATGTAGTGAAAGCAAACAACTTGGTGAGGTAGCAATGCAGTTTTTTTAATTGAAATAAAGTTTGGAGTCATATTCAAAGTATGAAATATTCATAATCTTCTCCTTCAAACACTCAATATTTTCCATATAATACCCAACAAAGAAACAAAATTAAAGTCTAAGACCCTAAACCCACGATATTAATAATGTAAATGCAAAGGAAAAGGTCCTCCTTTTGTTTAAACACTTCGATTTTCGTTCCTCTCACTATAAAATTATGATCAAATGCTTCTCTCCTCATTCATTCCTCTCTTCAGCAGTCATTTTTCCTCTCTGAAGAAGTACCCTACAATCGTCAGCGGGTAAAATTATTAATCTTTCTCGTGTTTGGCTGTCCAAGCTTGTGTAAATGTTTGATTTTTTGAATTTTAATTACCGGGTTTTGCTTTGTTTTGTATTTTCTTTTGTTGTAGCGTGTAAAGTTCATTCCGTTTTAGTTTTTGGCATCTGGGTTAGAGCTACAATGGCTGTTGGTGCAAGTTCAATGGCAGGTTTGGTGTGTTCAAATTCTGGGATGGAGCATGTGTTGGTTGAGAATGAAGTGCAACAGGTTAAGTTGCTTGACTCAGTCAATGATGACTTTGGAGGTGTCATTGTGGAATTGAGCGAGGCTATGGATTTAAAGGTGTTTGCTTCAATGCTCAAAGCTTCAATTGCTTTATGGAGAAGTCAGGTATTCGTTGGTTTTATCAATTCTGTTGCGTTTTGTTAAAGTTGGGTTCTTTTTGATAAATGTTTTAGCATCAGTGTGCTGTTATTGATTCTGAATTTGGAGTTTTTGGGGGGTTGTTTCTTCTCTGTTCTGGCTTTTTATTACTGAGTGTACAGAACGCATCTGGGATATTTCGGGATTGTAAAATGAATCCCCAAGGTTTTTTTTGGGGCGGGGCGGGGGGTGGCATACTAGTGTCAATTTAGCATTCATCTGACTAGAGTCGTCAAGTGTACGTGAAATTTAAGATTTCTTTAGAATTGGAGAAAGGCCAATTCGAAATTTGGGCTATAGGGCATATGCTGTTAGAAACCTCAAGAATGCACTGCATGGACATCTGAAGTCTGTTTTCGGTGTATGTTAGATGCATTTCTGTCTAACGCTGTTTTGGTTTTAATGTTTAATGCACTTGAACATGTTTTGCAGGGTAAGAGGGGTGTTTGGATCAAAGTACCTATTCAACTGGTCAATCTTGTAGAAGCTGCTGTCAAGGTAACTTTTCTGCCTGTATAAATTGCTGTCATGAGCTCACGATGCTCTAAAGTTGCTCAAGTAAGATTAAAAAAAGAAGAAGAAAAACTGGTATCGCTAGCCTGTCTTGTCAATTAACCTCCATTTTTTTTTACTGTTCAGGAAGGGTTCTGGTTCCACCACGCAGAGCCAAAATACTTAATGCTTGCTTTCTGGATCCCTGAAGGTTCTCATACTCTTCCGGCGAATGCCTCTCACCGTGTGAGTATTGGTGCATTTGTCATGAACAAAAAGAGAGAGGTATTTCTCCATATCTATTTTTCTTGATGACTTGTTGCAATAAAGTTAAGGGGTTTGCATGGGAAGTGCTCTTTGTGTGGATGTGATCAAAGTTTCATTTGCTTCTTGCTAAAGCCTGAAAGTCCACATATGGATGACCTTAACTAATAGCTACAGCTACTGGTGCTGCTGCTATTTTGGAAACATAGGGATACTTGTATTATAAGAAATCTTGATCCTTCATCAGAAGTGTGCTTGAGGGAGTGGGAACCACTACTAAGTTTGATAGATTTCATTTCCTGCATTTGCTTCATACTTTTATTATTCAGACCTTTTGCTTTGTCTAGTTCTTCCAATCTAAGTTCTGATGCTACAGTAGGTGTGAAACGATTATTTGATCTCTCATTTGAAAAGAATACAGTACAGTTGATACTTTGGGGGTCTCTGAATGTTGTTTTCTCAAAATATAATTGCAATTTTCGTTCCCAGGTGCTTGTGGTCCAAGAGAAATGTGGCATATTTCGAGGGACAGGTATATGGAAGCTCCCTACTGGAGCTGTGGACGAGGTAGGTTCATGATTTAATTTTTTTCCATCACAGATATAACAGTGTCGTGTGGGGTCACGACTAAAGAACTTTCTATTTCTCCAGGGAGAAGACATACGTGCAGGTGCAATGAGAGAAGTCAAAGAAGAGACAGCAGTAAGTCACTGTTGTCTAACCTGTATGCTCAAGTGAAATGAGTTGCACATTTATCGCTACTATGAATGAAGCATATATTTCCCTGACATGATGTAACGACATTCCATGTTTCTTTTTGTCTTGACAGATTGATACGGAATTTGTGAAAGTACTAGCATTCTGGTATGCGATTTACTAGAATATTATTTATCATCTGCATCCAAACCACATCTATCCATTCCTTCAATTTATGGTGCTCCTTATATTTGCTTCTCCATGCCTTGGTTCCATGGTTTTGTGATGTGGCTTGTGTGAGCATGTATTAGCTAGTTTTATTACCAGTGATAGTTGTTTAACTTGCAAAAGGAAACAACTTGTCTTCATGTGGCACAACAAACTCCTTTAACGAGTATTTTGGCCTGAACATGCATCTGAAAGCAACATTTGATCAGAGAATAAAAATATTTTTGCTTTTCGCTTTGAAAGCTTGTCTTTTGGAATTGGAACTGGTCTTTTTCTGAAATTTACTTCTTTTCTCTTCATGTAACTTGCAGGCAAAGCCACAAATCATTCTTTGGGAAGTCAGATTTAATCTTTGTATGCATGTTACGACCCCTCTCCTTTGACATCCAGAAGCAGGAGACAGAAATAGAGGATGCTCAGGTGACTTTTTGTCAAAGAAGTTTTTCCAATACAAAAGTGTTGTCAAAGGGAGCAGAGGACTGTTTGTGGTGGCCAAAAGCTCCACAGAAACCCCACTCCTACCCCAATCAAGAAAAAAAAAAAAAAAAAACCCTGCAGATTCTGTTCCACTTAGCTGAATATATTCTATACTAATAGATATGATGCATTTTAATGTTTGAACAAACTGAATACCAGCTGCTTTGGCTAGAAACCCTCACATTAATTCTTGTAATTGCAGTGGATGCCGTGGGATGATTATGTAGCTCAGCCATTCGTCGAAAACCATGAACTTTCGAAGCAGTTACTTGACATATGCAAAGCAAAAGAAGATGAAACCTATTTCGGGTTTTCTCCGGTGCCCATCGCATCAAAACTTCAAGATCAGAAAAGTTATCTGTACTTGAATGATCGAGACCTGAAAGGCAGTGAAGTCTGAATGTCTCTCACAACTCAGAATTATGCTCACAACTCAGAATTATAGTAGGAAACAGCATGGCCTGAGTAACTCTCTCAACCATGATAATTATAGTATACTAAGTTTATGTTTTCTGGAAAATAGTATTTTTAGAAATGTAAATTCCAGAAAAATAAATTATTTTTTAATATTTTATAATGCAATAAAAAATAAGTTGGAAAGCACTTTTCAATATTTAGTTATGTCATATAAAAAATAAATTAGAAAATAACTTATTAATATTTTCAAAGAAGAAGATTTGACATCTGTAATTTCATTTATTTTTAGAACAAACGACAACGTTGTAAATGTCATGCATTCTTTATAAAAGAAAAGTAATTTAGTGATTTTATTGGTGCACTATTTGATCCATTACTTGTACACTGCTTCTCTACGGGCTGCCATTATCAATTAGTAAAATCCTTGTTCATCATCTCTCTTTCTGAGATTTGAACAATGAGAGCTGCTTGTTGCCTGGGCTGGCCTGGCGTTTATCTTCTGGTCTTGGTCATGGACAATCCTCTATTAGGCATCAAAAGCAACTACTGCTGTCACTATGAGTTGTAGATTTCAAAAGCTACAAGCCATTCATTTTGAGGCTGCTTTATAAAACTAAAATCTCTGGTTGCTTTAGCCATGGCCGTGCTCGAAGTCCCAAATCCTTTTGTGAGTAAATAAGGCATGCAAAGAGGTGGTGAGGCTTTGACAAGATGCGAACTTAGACACCAAGAAAAAGGAGGAGGAAGATGCAAAAATTGGCCCATGCAGGTTTCGAACCTGCGACCTTCGCGTTATTAGCATGACGCTCTAACCAACTGAGCTAATAGGCCAGCTGGTTTCCTGTATATTTAAAATGATTTAAAGCATAAAATTTGTTATTTTGTTGGCTGTAGAATACAGTCACAAAGTGCACTTAGTTTCATATGAATGAAGTAAACTCTTGCCGATGCACGTATGGATATTGTTACAGCGTGTGCGTATATATAATACAACGTATAGAAGGATATTGTTTACGCTCTTAAAAGAACTAGGATAAAAACCCTACCTTCTTCACTTTTTTCATGAACAATAATTTTTTTTAAAAAAAAGTTTTATTTTTTATTTTTTTAAAGTTAAATTAGTCTACATAATTTATTTTGATTTATTTTCTATAAGATTATCGTCAATTTATATAAACTTTCCAATATTTTATAAATGTTCAATTTTTAATAAGCTATAATTTAAATTCATATATGATTAATCTAATATGTCACCGTTTCAATATTAAAAACATATATCATCTTGAGAGAGGTTTCCTATATATTTAAAATAATTTAAAAGATAAAATTTGTTGGTACGCATTATTTATTTTGTTGGCTGTAGAGTCACAAAGTGCACTTAGTTTCGTATGAATGAAGTAAACTCTTGCCGATGCACGTATGGATATTGTTTACGCTCTTAAAAGAACTAGGATAAAAACCTTACCTTCTTCGCTTTTTTCATGAACAATAATTTTTTTTTAAAAAAGTTTTATTTTTTATTTTTTTAATTAATTTATTTTTAATTTTATTATTTAATATTTTTTTAAAGTTAAATTAGTCTACATAATTTATTTTGATTTATTTTATATAAAATTATCGTCAATTTATATAAACTTTCCAATATTTTATAAATGTTCAATTTTTAATAAGCTATAATTTAAATTCATACATGATTAATCTAATATGTTACCATTTCAATATTAAAAACATATATCATCTTGAGATTTTTTCTAAAGTCAATCCTTGTTTTTTATTGATCTTCTGAGTTGTATCTAGACCTATCCAAGTCCACTAGGTTATGTCAAAGCAATTTTTATATGGGTTGACTTTAAACCTTAATTAGACAATGAGTCGAGTTGAGAGTTTTCATAATTAACCCATCGAGTTAGGTCTTTTTTTTTTAATTCATCTTTTTTTTCTTTGATTGGATCATTTTTATCTTTATCTTTTTTCAATTTTAATTTTTAATGTTTAGTTAATTTGAATATCTTCATATATTTTTTTAGTTTTCTTTTTATAAAGTTATCACACTCTTAAACAAATATCCTCCTAATATTTGATTGGTGCTTAATTTTACAAGTATTTATTTTTGTTATTATATTATTAAATAAAAAAATAAAAAAATGAAGTTGTTAAACCAGTGGAGTCCATGATTTAAGTCATGAGTTTGGTATGTTAAGTCTCGAAACCCATTTCAATCTAATATATCATTAGTTCAAAATTAAAATAAAAAAAGACATTAGCTTGATTTTATTTAAAGTAAAACCATTTATTTTACCTATCATCTAGGCTTTTTTGGACTCACGGTGTTGATTGAATTATTTTATGGCAACTCATACATGAATTAATTTTAATTCTAGGTTGATAGATTTTAAGATTAACTATTAGATTATGTTTGATAACTATATCAACTAATTTCATATGACCATAATATTTTTTCATGTTCTAAAAATCTTTGATCAAATGCAAAATTTAGCATAGCCAGAACTCTGAAAAGTAACTTAACTAGTTAAATTTTAGATTTTTTTTTTTAATAGTTAAGAGTTTGAGTGCTTTCAAGACCACTAAAGATTTATACAATTATTAATTTTAAAATTCATAAAATTAATTAAAATACATGCAAAATAATTCTACCACTCACGTTAATTAAAAAAAACCTAGCATAGCCAACAAAACAGTACATTCTGTAATTTTATTTTATTGAAAAGGAAGGGAAGAAAAATAAGTATCTGGAGAAAAAAAGTTGAATAATTCTGTGATAAAGCAGCCAAATTGGAAAGGAGACAAATGAGAAAGGAATGGGTGGTTTGGCTCTTTCTATTAATCAGATAAATTGTGGATAAAGAAAAAGAATTCATAGAAAAACAAAGAATAAAAAAAGCATTTTCCTTTCAAAATTCAATCCACAATATTTTATTTATATCTCCACATATCCTGCTATACCCATTTCACTTCACCATCGATCCTTGTTAATTTCACAAAATGGAACATCAAACCAACCACTAATACCTAATTATTAAGGAAAATTACAACACCATGGAAAGCATCATCAAGCATTATCCTTGCCCGTACTATTGACATGATAATTAGAAGAGAAAAATATAAAAAAGTAGTGAAAACAACTGTAACCCTAGCAAATTACTAGCTTGGCCTACCAGAAGAAGCTCCACTACCAGGACCATACATATTCCCTGGATGACGGTGCTGATAATGGTGATGTCCCATCATCGCCATACTTGACTGCATCCCAACATACATATTGCCCCCACCTCCACCAAACCCACCCCCAGGATTTCCACTATTCACAACCCCACCATCTCCGGCAGCACCATCTCTTTGATCGCCTTGCCTAACTATTCCCATGGCAGCAGTCTTCTCTCCTTCCATCTCTCTAAATTTTTGCAAGTAAATCTTCAGAGGCTCAACATAATCTTCAAACCCTAGAGTTGTCATGGCCCACAAAAGATCATCACCATTGACTGTCTTCCTCTTCTCTCTTTGACACTTATCTGATGCCTCTCCAGTGATGAAGCTAATGAACTCGGACACACACTCTTGCACAGTCTCCTTAGCATCCTTTGAAATCTTTGCATTAGCTGGTAAAGCTTTCTTCATGATCCTGCTGACATTGGCTATAGGCAAGAGCCTGTCTTGCTCTCTTGGTGAAGTCTCAGTACTGTAGTTTGTATTGCTGTTGTTTTGCTCTCCAGACTCATTGTCTGAATCAGCCATGAACCCTAATTAAACTTACCTAGAGATTCTCGGATTTGGCTTTATTTTATGAATTATATAAATAAATATTACAAAAAAAAAACTTAGGGTTAGAATTTGAAGAATATATATAGAAGAGAGAAAAGCTAGCTAGCTAGGTAGGGTTCGAAGAAGAAGATGAGAGTAACAAGGAAATTTGGAAAGTTTGCTTGGCTAAAGGGAAGGGTAAGTTTGAGCTTAATTTTAATTTTCATACTATATATTATAAACAAATTATTATTATTATTATTTGTTTTGTTAGGCTATATTGTGTGGGACGGATGGTTTTGGACCGACATTTATTGATAAGTTTCTCACAGGTGGATGTTTGATTGGCCGTTGGATCTGGAAATTGAAGGATTGTAAAGGTTGACTTACTGTTTTTGGAGCTGTCCACTTGTAACGGCAGCCTTGTGTGCCTCTTGGATTAATGGTGGGGTTCATCCAACATGTTTAACACTATGATAAATTTACTTGTTAATTTATATTAAAATACCATATTTTATGTTACTATAAATACTTTAGGTCATAAAAATAATAGATGTTTTACTCCTTTTCGGCCAGCTATATATTTAATATAATGCCATCAATTCATGTTGATAATATAAAAAAATACTTTTGATAATAATAATTTTTATTTTTGTGTTGATTGGGTTAATCAGGTTGACTTTTAATTTATGATCCAAACCCTAACCTAGGTTGATCTCTAAGTTGAATTTTAAAATTATAATAATAACTACTTTTATTTTTATAATGCCCCTCACAACCTGTGACTCGGGTCTTGTCCTGGGATTAATCTTAAATCAGATTTTAAAATTATAATAATAAAAATCTTTATTCTTATGTTGTCTCAGATCAACCCGAGTTGACTATCTAGACTTGTGACCTGGGCCTTGTCTTGGTTCGACCCTCTAGTTGGATTTAAAAACTATAATAATAACTATTTTTTATCTTTATGTTGACTCGGGTCAATGATCAATCCAACTTATAATTCGAGCCTGACTTAGGGTCGATCTCTGGATCAAGTTTTAAAATTATTATAATAACTATTTTACATTGACTGAAGTCAATGATCAACTCGATCCATAGTCCAAACTTGACCTCGAATCGATTCCTGAGTTGAGTTTTAAAACTATGATAGTAACCACTTTTATCGTTATATTGACCAAGTCAATGATAAAGTTGACTCATGACTCAGGCTTGACATCGGGTTAACCTTCGAGTTGAATTTTAAAACTATGATAATAACCACTTTTAACATAATATTGACCCAACTCAATGATCAACTTTATATGTGACTTGAACCTTGCTCGAGATCGATTCTCAAATCGGGTTTTAAAACTTTGATAAGATATTGAGATCATAGCGTGTAGCCAAATCATTAGTGATCATAAAAAAAATTTCCAGATCGATGATGTGGAAACTCTAAGATATAGGAGAGAAATTGATGGTCTTTTCATCGTTGATTCATTATTGATTTATCAAATTTTTTATTAGGTAAAAATTCTCAACAATCTTGTAACCATTTAACAATAGTTTTGCACCTTTACACTCTTTTAACAAGAAATATAACAAACAACTCTATTTTATGCGTCACTAGATAAACATAAACAACTATAGTTCCCTTAAAAAACATGGTGGAATAACATGCAAACTAGTAGTTGAAAGCAATCTTTTTATTTCAACTTTCCAAATGAGGCACTCCTGTTATAAAGTCCACTCCTCTACTATTAAGCTTTAGCCTTAAGAATGGCTATCGCTATTAATTTTTTTTTAAAATATCACTCATGTGCTCTTTAAAAAATAAATAGATACGAGACAATATCAACAAATTAAGCAGGTTGTTGTGGGTTGAACTAGATCAATATTTAATTTTTTAAAATTAATTGGTCAATACGATCATGAAATGACTTTTCAGCTTTTTAGGTTAACTAATGTTAAATCATGTCAATAAATCATGTCAACTCTATGATAATTTATTATGAAACTTAACTTGAATAAGGGTTGGTTAGCTGGGTTTTTAGTTAATCTATCAAATTAGATTGAGTTTAATGATAATGTACTAAACTCATGCTTAGTTAATTTCGCTAGGTTAGTGATATATATAGATTGATAGAGATTACTGCCTAACCTAAACAAATTAAGGGAATGCAATGGAAAAACATTGTTTCAATAATCTCAACAAGGGAGATTGGATATCGTGGATGGGAATAGATAGGGCAGGCTTGAAAATGTAGAGACAGAGAGAGAGAGAGAGAGAGAGTTAATTGTGTTCTGCTGCCCACTTTCTAAGACGTGTCTATGGCTCTACATATGCCTAAAGATTGGTAAACGGGCTTTTCCCTTAGGGTGATCGATTAATTAGTTAATTAAGGTTTAACCTAGCTATAAAAGAGAATACGTAGAGGACAAGAGTAGGCAACCAACCTCCATTCAACGTCCCTTCCAACTTCCAACTTCTGCCATTGTACAATTGGTGAAGCCATGCATGCTTGCTGGTACGTATGACCCACTTGCCCTTCCATTTCATTTCATCTTCAAGCTTGTTTTCTTCTCCTTTTCTTTGACGGTCAAGTGTCAACGTTCAACTTCTTCAATTCAATTAGTTAACCAACCAAGGCATATATATATATATTAAGGAATGAAATCTATATATCTAGTGTGAAAATTATTCACTGGATAATTTGTCAGTCGTCAAGTGAATTATGAAATATAATAATTATCATAACTAATAATTTCTCAGTTATTTTAATTATTTTGAAAAAAAACAATTATTATACTTATATATAATTAGAAATCAACATATATAGTGCGAATTTTATAGTACTTTTATCTATATATTTTATTTTTTATACGCTGATTTGAATCACAACTTGAAACACATAAAATAAAATCACAAATAAAAAAGTTTTAAATTAATTTTGATATATGAAAACTAAGTTTAGGATAATTCTTCTAATGATTTAAAAAAATGCCTTGTCTCATCATCATTATTGTTATATCAACTTCTGAAACCTGTATATATATATATCTCTCTCTCATTGTTATTCTCAATTACATGGGCCATATATAAAGGAATTTGATTCATGGATATTGAGTAGAGAAATTGGTTGACCATCCAAGTCAACTCCTGAAGGGCAAAATTGTAATAAGAGAAAAATCCAAGGCGGGGTGAACACCAAAGCCCCTTATAAAACCAAAAGAGGATCCTCCTTTTATAATTGTTCCTCCATGCCACATCTTATGAAAACAAGTAGAAAATCTTGCAACAACCAAAAAGAAGATGAGCTACTTTAGCGGCTGCAACAATCTTACGATGATCACCAACTTCATTTCCACCATCTTTATCATCTTCATCATCACCTTTCAAGCATCAATGGCCAAAGCAGAGAACCCATTGCAAGAGTTCTCAAATAGAGAAGAGTTGGTGCAATTGGCTGGTTATGGGGAGGACAAGCTATCAACCGTGCTAGTCACAGGCACGATTCTTTGTGAGGCTTGCTTGAATGGTGGAACTCAACTCCATGCATGGCCAGTATCAGGTTCTTTTTTTCATGTTCCTCATTAATTACGTATTGATATTGTGATAACCAATCTAGTTTAATATCCTGATTACATGCATTTAGTGTTTCTTTTCAAGTTTGAACACAAATCATCATAGAAACTGGTCATGAACATATTGATGTGGTAACTCCTTTAGCCCATGTTATCTATTTCTTTTCAGCTTTCCTCTCGTGGAAATTAATTTCCATGCTTCGTCGAGTTACACCCTCTTCAATTTTGGAGCTGTTAATTGACCCTCCCCCTACAATTTTTGAACCTTTCTTTCCTTGTAATTACTTGTGTACAAGTAGTATTTTATCTAGGCTTATGATCTTAGCCTTAATTCTTAGCTAGTTTTGCATAAGGTTTGGTACAGTATCAGGGTTTCTTGTTAATCTTGCACGTACTTAGTTTTTGAATAATGATCGTTAATTGTTTGAGAGGTCACTAGCTTTCAACCTATCATGGGTAGAAATAACATTGTTTTCAGCCAAACTTGTCATCAAAGGAAAAATTAATTAAGCATGAAGCTACAATTAGGGAGTGTGTGATCATGGGTTATATATATAGGTGAAGAGTCATCATATATGGCTATATATGTCAAGGCAACTGCAAAATGAAGCAATATACGAAGACATTATTATCAAAATACAGCTCCTTTTCTATTTATTTCCACTACAAATTTAACATGATTTCTGGCTTATTTCATCTCTAGCCCATATATAGAAAAAAATTGAATGCTAAAATTTGAAAAAAATTCTGGCTTGATTGTGCCTCCTTAGGCACTTCCAAATCTTTACTTTTCGTATAAGAAAACTGTTCTTCTCTGAAGCCTTCAGTTTGGAATTAATGTAATTTGCCCTGATACAAATTAATTAAATCCAACCAATCCAAAATTTAATTAATTTATCTTTTAACCCGAGCTTAATGTAATTTGACCCGATTAACCCCACAAGTTTAATAAATGAATGCCTGGAAACAAAGCGAAGATCCACCGACCTTGACTACTATGATCCAAACCACCCATATTTTACACGCTACTTTGGATAAGAGTAGATAGAAGCCCTGGATTAAAACACACACTACTTGCTGTCAGCCTGTCACCACAGTCAAGGCCCAAGTGATTAGGATGTGCTAATCATTTTAATTAAACATTGACGAGGAAGATGCTATTGAAGAGAGATGGAGAAGCCCACATAAACAGCAACATCTCACCATAAATTGTGATTGAAAATGCATTTCAGAATTTATTTTGGCAATTTAGGAATAAATAAAAAAAATCCCATTTGATTGAAGTGCAAGATCATTTCATCTAAATAATTCAATCCTGATTGAGAAGAGATTTATTTTTGATGTTCACAAAATTCGAAAGGGAGAATATGAATTGTTAAAATTATGTTGAAATTCTTGAAGGTGCTTCGGTATACGTGGAATGCCACACTGGTGGGAAGTGGAGCAAAACAAGTTCTTCACAAGCCATGACAGATGAATATGGAGATTTCCTAATTGATCTACCTTCCCCCCTCCATGGAATTCCGAACCTGGAAAGAACATGTTCAGTTAAGGTTCTACGATTGCCACAGAACTCGGTATGCAGACTAGCTCATGCCAGGAAACAGAAGGCACTGGAATTATCATCACTTGGGAATGGCATCCGTTATTACAGTGCCGGGGAGATCAAATTTCTTCAAGTAACATCTAAACCTTTTCAAGCATGCACCCAGAGAGGAAGCAACGATAAGCAGATTGCGTACTAGATAACAGGTTTATAAGAAGACTGGAATACAAGAACAAGGCTCACTTAGATGGCGCTTTAGTCACAGCATTGAGTAACAAGGTTCAATTCCTTTCTACCAGTCGTAAAATACATGAGTGGCAACTATATAGCATGTAGATAAATAATGATATCTTTTAATATAGCAAGCTTGCAGTGTTTGTAATTGTAGAAACAAGATTGTATAACAGAAATTTTCACAGGCTGCAATGAAAAAGTATGATATAAACGGTTTGGAAACCATTATATGTAGTTATTGATTCACAAAAATGAACAAGCATGAAGAACAGACAAGACTACTGTCCAAGAGCACCCTTTCACCTTTAGGAAATCCTAAAATTGACTACTAGTCAGGATTTACAATTTTCTGTTCACCTCCAGAAACTATATATTTCGCAACATCAGCGCAACAGGTAAGTTTATCTGCTTTCTCCTCAGGGATTTCAAAGGAAAATTCTTCCTCAAAAGCCATGACGAGCTCAACCCTGTCTAAACTATCCAGGGACAAATCTTTTTGGAAATCAGCTGCTGCAGTAACCTGTTTCAGAGGTCAAATGAAATCAACATTACTCTTTTGACCTATGTGCAACGGACAAAGTGATTGTTTGTTGAAATTAAGTAAAAAGCCTCTTTGTTTTGACATAAAGTGTCACCTAACAATCAGGTTAATAGTACATGTAAATTTAATCAAATGAAGAGTAAAGGTCAGACGTCCAATTGAAAAGAATCATAAAATGGACAGGAAACAGAAAAAACAAAGAAAATTACAAGGGAGCCGTCAATTAGTTACCTTATTGGCATCGATTTTATCAAACTTCTTAACCAGTCCAATGACTCGATCCATAATTTAATCAGGGCTGTTTCCTGCTGATGTACACATCTGCCAACGAAGTTGCTTGAACACATTTCCCTCCTGAGCAAACAGCAATTGTTCTGCAGAACCCCTCAGCCCCATGTGGCTCAACATGGAGTTTCTTACGCTTTGCATTTTTAGACAAGCCGGAAATCAACATAAGTCACTCAAATCAGAATGTGCAAATCAAATCACGTAAAAGCAGTGCCAAGACAGCACATATGCATGATTGACAGCTGAACCATAATCAAAATTCAAGAACACACTCGTATAACCAACAGGGAAGCATTACATCAACAAACCAGAATTGCAGGTAGCGTCCTGGCTAGCAGGAGTTAATTTTAATCAATAAAATGTAAACCAGGACCATTTCTAGAGTGAAAAGAAAGCACTAAGGCCTGAATGTACAAACAAATACAAGCATCCACAATTCAAAAGAAACCCCATTTTTTTTTTTAAATTTTACTGCTTGCTTCTCATAATTCATCATCTTGCACTGCTAGCCAGATTAAAGAAATCGAGTAGCTATAAAACACACAATTTTTACAAAAGGGAAGTCTACCTTGGCATTGTGGCTAAAAACTGAACAGGAAAAGACCCTCAAGAGCAAAATCTGTCAAATCATTCAAATTTTACAGCTTTCAGAAAAGACATTATTCATAGGTAAATGCATGATATCAAATTCAAAATTGACAAGGAAACCACAGTGGAAAGTAACACAAGAACCAATCTCATGCAAACATGATTCCTACATATATTAATTCACACGCTTTCCAGGCCCTTTTCTTTTTTCAAATCTAATGTTTAACAACACTAACGTCAAAGCAACAAATTCTGACAGAAAAAGCTATCATGCACCAAGATTCAAGTAAAAGACATGGCTAATGAAATTAAAAAAAAAAACAGAGAGAGAGAGAGAGCAAGGTTAAAAGGGACATAAAACGAAGCAGGAACTGCTTACTCACGAGATTTTGTGTCTGTGGGTATTGACTTTCGAGTTAAAAGAATAGTCGTTCAGGTGTTTTGCCGCAGTGAAGTCTCCCTGTTGAATGAAAGAAGTCGTCTTGTCAATTTTAAGCTTGGTCTCATGGGCGGTCCTTGTATGATGTGGACGGAGAGAGTGCTAAATGAGGATGAACCAAACGATGTCGTTGTGCTAATATATTGGTTTTTGCTGCTTTTCAATGGTTTTATGGGTAATATTTCCGTTTTCATGGATCGAAACTCAGCCCATCTCTTGAATCCATTTGCTATTAAACCTCGAACAAGGATAGATGCTGTCTAGGCTTAGGGTTGCCAGTTAAATGATTTAATTTCAATTTAAAAATAAAATTATAACAATTATTTTGTCACAAAAAAAAAACAAATGAATTTTGACAAGGTTTTACCACAAGTCAACCATGGTTTTTAATCTGGTTTTTCTTTTATTTTTTTATAAAATTAAAATCAATTATGATTTTTAATCGATTTGTTAGTCCAAATTTAATAATAATTTTTTAATTCAATTTAAAATAGATTGTTTGTACTAGAACTAAAAAATTGATGAAAATCTTATTTTTGCTATATGATTTGAGAATTAAATCCTATTAATTAAGAAAAAAAATATAACTCCATAACATAAAATCATCTTAAGATTTACTTTTTTTATTTTTATTTTTATTTTTTCGTTACATTGCGAGTGTTTTTTTAGTTATTGTTATCGTCATTTCTTTTAGTGGGAAAAGATTAATAGAACATAATATTTTGTGAGGGTGGTATAATTTTAGTAGAGAAAATAGCTAGTATAAAAGTGCAATTTATTTATTTATTAATAGCAGCAAAGCTCAATTTTTCTAAGGAATGATGAAACTTTTTTTTTATTAAAATATATTTTATATTACAAATTTAGTATTCAACTGAGAAAGAAATTTGATATATGAATTATATTAAATTATTTTTTGTATTTGATAAATAAAACTTCTAGTTTTTTTATTGATCTACCTTTTTTTTATTTTACAATTGAATAAAATTTCAGTTTTACTTTCATTTTTAGATGTATCAATTCGATTATGTATCTTTAAAATTTTATTTAATTTACATTTAAACACGTTGTCATGAAAAAAAAAATCCTACTTTTTTTATGACTGGACTAATGCAGGAAGTTGATTTGTTATCCATGCAATCATTTAAAATTAAATATAAAAAGAAAATTGAGAAAAGTAGGGGAAAAAAAGAAAAAATTATTACGATAAATAAGTCTAGATATCAACACATTATCTAAAATTAGATGGAAAAGAATTTAGTTTAAGTAGTCTAAATTTTACTAGTAAATTCTCTCTCTCTCTCTGAGATTATTAACTTAAGTTTTTTAAAATAATTAAAATAATATTATTTTAATTTTTTAAAATAAAAAAAATTAAACAATATTTTATTAAATTGAAGAATTAATCCAGATTTTTGATGCAATCGAATTATATTAATTATTTTTATTTTTATTTTTATCTAAACTTATTTAAATCTTATATTAATTATATTTTGGTTTAATTTTGCCAACTAGTATAAGTTTTATATATACGAACATAATTACTTCATTATTTACCCCCCAGAAAAAGGAATCCTATATCAGGAGCCAAAAATCTCATAAAAAAGAAGAAGTAAATTCTATTTAAAGAAAATAAAGAGAGCAATAATTTAAAGGAAAAAGACTTTGTCAAATAATGACGTGCACATCATCGCATACACACTCAAGAAAAACAACACTAGATTCGATACATTTACATCACCCATTTGCCCCACCACCACCACTATTTCCACCTCTTCCTCCCACCACCACCACCACTCTCTCCTTTTACTTCAACCCATTTTCCCAACTCACTGGAGATCACTCTCCTTTTATCTTTTCCAAAATTTCCCTTCCTTCCTTCCTTCCTCCCCCTTTTCCCCCCAAAAAAGCACACTCCTTAGTTACCTGACACAAAAATAACGAAGTTATAAACTTTATTCAATTTTGGCATCTGGGTCTATCCCAAAATTGCTTCCTTTTGGATTGTTCTTAATTTAATTCATGTATATAGTTGGCGGGTTTTAATAAAGTTTCAATTTTTATACAATCCAATCTGTAATAAACAACAGCTAAAACATTAATAAAGATCATTAATTTGTAAGTGAGTTGAAGTTATTAATAAATGGGGAATGTGAATGGAAGAGAAGAAGAAGGAGCAATCAGTCCATCGAGTGGTTGTGGTGGTGGTGAAGGAGAAAGTCATAACAGCAGTGAGGTTATGGTTGCATCAGATGAGTCCCATGTTACTTATCCTGCACCTCCTCCTGAAATGATGGGTCACTCACCTCCGCATAGCCCAAGAGCTACTCACTCACCTCTTATGTTCACTCCTCAGGTTTGTTTTTTACTGTCTTTCTGTTTCTGTTTTCGGTTGCTGTTGTTTGTTATTCTCTCTAAGGTTTTATGAAGGAGTCAACTAAATTGTGTAGAATTGTTGTGTTTTGGAATGTGGTTGTGGCTTCGAAGGATGCAAATTTTTTGAGACTTTGATCGGTTTGGTAGATTTTGAAGATTTTTTAGATGATACTGGATTGATATCACATTATCTTTATTGTGGGATTCTTTTAGATGCTGGAGAATTTGATATTTGCTTGGAAAGTCTTGACTTGGCTGTATTGGTGTGGGAATCAGCGGAAAGGGAATTGCTTTACCTACTTTGAATGTGTTAAAAGATGTGTATAGCATTAGCCATCGGGTTCTTTCCTATGAGATTCTACTTGGGAGTGGACATTTTAGTGGGTTCTAATTTGGTGGCAAGTAGGTTGTGCTGTCAATGCGGAACAAAGTATGTCTTTTGTTTTGATGTAAATAGGGAGCGAACTGTTAGTTTCAATCTGACAAGATCAAGGTTGTTATGAACTGAACTTTGTTGGATCCTTGTGATATTCATTGCTTGGAAGTCATTTTAATATTTTGTGCTATGTTCATGTAACATGCTTTGCTTCATGTCCTAGAAAGTATTTTCGTTAAACTGAGTCATGTGCTTTTTTTTCTTTTTTCTTTTTTTCTATTCTGGTGTGTGCTTCCATCTACAACCCTATTTGATATCTTTTCATTGCATGTTTTTCTTTGTCAGGTCCCAGTGGTTCCATTGCAAAGACCCGATGAGATTCAAGTTCCAAGTCACTCATGGATGCAAAATTCTTTAGGGTATGAAGAAATGTGTAATGAGCAAGGAATTCCAACAATGATTACATGGACTTATGGTGGCAAGGAAGTAGCTGTTGAGGGATCATGGGATGACTGGAAAACAAGGTTGAAATTCAATGCTTTAGATTTTCCCCATCTGTTTTATAACAACTTCAGGATCCACTTTCTGACTGTCTAATATAATCCCATTTACATTGTTGATCAGAATGCCTTTGCAAAGATCAGGAAAAGACTACACTATAATGAAAGTTCTGCCATCAGGTGTTTATCAATACAGGTTTATTGTTGATGGACAATGGAGGTATGCCCCTGACTTGCCCTGGGCCAAAGATGATTCTGGCAATGCTTACAATGCTTTGGATTTGCAGGTAATCCTTTAATCCCGTCCCTTTGGTATTGCAGCATAATTTCTTAATAATTCCACTAAATTAAGGGGATGCTGGTAAAATTTTTCCTTTTTAATTATTCAATTGTATCTATATGGACACCTTTGCTTCTTTTTGTCCTTTTTCTTATCTGATAATTAGTGCAGAGTTGGTCTCAAAAAGTCAAAATTTTCTTTTTCACTAAGACAGTGATACCATCTGCAATTAAAGGTCCAAAAATGTAAGAAGAAAGAATTTGACTTCAGATATTTATCCCCATCTTTAGAGCTGCTACATTTTTTGGTTTATTTGTTTGCTTGGAATAGAATTATAATAGCATGCAGGTAAAGTATGTATATGAATTTATGGGTCTCAAACTAACATATCTCTGAGCGTGCAACCATTTCTGAGACTCAAGTGAAAGGTTTATATGAAGTTCCCCTTGACATATTCACATGAATCAGACTTGCTTCCATTCTATTTCCTTAGGAGAAGATTGATTTAAATGTAATCCTGTAGTCATTTAAGCTAGTAAATCTGCATGAAGATCAAAACCGAGAATGAAACAAATAAAATATAATTAGGTTTCCAACAGTTTGTGGGTTGTATTTCAAACATTAGATACCTTACTTAATATTGCCACCTTTTTGTGACCTCGTGCTTTTTATGTGCTTCCAGCATATGCTCTCTTGGTGTCATTGTGAATGCATAAGGTGAAACTATCTGTAACATAATTTTGGGTTATGTTCCTGCATTGTCGTAGCTATACAGTCATTTATTCCTGTCTATTTTTGGGTGCATCATACATGATCAACAAAGAGGATAGTATTTAGCTAATTTTCTTCCTTGAAAAGTTAAACAATATTTAGAGCTTGCCAAAATTGTATCTATACAGATTATACCCTTAGTTTCAGTTTTCTTTCACTGAAGAAACGAAACAGTTTATTCTAATAATTGGGTGGTATAGTGTCATTGCAACACTTGCCTACTTTCAGTTCTCTTAGTGTTATCATGAATGCATAAGGTGAAACTATCTCCAACTTAATTTTGGGTTATCTTCCTGTGTTGCTGCCTCAATAAAGTTAGTTTTATTTGTGCCTATTTTTGAGAGCTTCATAAATGACAGAAAAATAAAGATAGTATTTAGTTAAAACTTAAATAACATTTGGAGCTTCCCAAAATTGTAGTAGTACAGATTATACTCGTAGTTTCAGTTCTCTTGCACTGAAGAAAGGAACAAGTTTATTCTCATAAAAGGTGGTATATGTCATTGCTGCTCGTGCCTACTTTTAGGTTTAATGATCTGTTCTTCAAAACAGTGTACATTGTGTTTGTAATATTTTACTAGGATAGATATACCTAAACAGCATATTTGCTTTTGCATAATGGCAAGAGTATGAAATTCTTAAACTTAGGACCTTCTGTCTCACAATTCTGATTTGTGGTATCTCTCTCTCTTCTAGGATGAAATGATGAAATTTAATACTGCTTATCCACTATCTCTTTTTTGACGTTGTTTATGTGCCTCCTTTTGTTTTTGAGACTTGGAAGTAGAATATGAATATTCTGAATCATGGCTTCCTTTCTTTGGAGATGCATTATTAAGTAAAAGAAAGAAACTGGCATGTGCAATGGTGATTGCTTGAACAATTGTTTACAAAAAATTATGTTTTTAAAGTCTTTTCTGAAGTCAAAGCTAAAGTTTTTTTTCTTTCTTTTTGTCCTGCTAATATTATGATTTGGTTAAGCATGTTCTGCTTTGATTTTAACACACATGCTTGTATGCATGCATATATATATATCTATGCAAGAGATTTTTCTCTAATGCATTGGTTTATGTTATTAAGCATAATTTTTTATTCGAATGTTGAATTGGGTTGAAATTTCGCTAGTAGATTCTAGAAGCCTTGTTTTATATAGGGTTAAAATTTCACAGCTATCGGAGATTGAAAAGGTCTTCTATTAATGTTTATAAGTTACCATTCAAGATTTCCTATATCTTCCTAGTTGTTTTATGATTTTTTTTCCTATTTGGTTTAGAACTCTTCTATTATTATTATTTTTAAAATTTAAATAGGATGTTTTTTCCTAGTTTGTTTAGGATTTTTATTACTTTTCCTTTATTTTTTGGTTTTCTTAGTTTAGGTAAGTTTTTAAGTTTATTTAAAGACTTGTAAATCTCAGAGAGAAAAACTACTTGAAGAGAAAACATCTAGTAATAAAATTTTGAATAAGAGTTTCTGTGTGATCTCTATTTAGTATAATTTTATATTCTTATGCTTGCTATTTTTCTTGTGTTGCTTGTATCTTTGTTGATATTAGAGCCCAACAATCTAGGTTATTGTTTGTTGTGCACTACAATCTCAAGTTATTTTATTTGATGTGTGCTATTAAATAACCATGGTTGGAAGAGATTGCAGAGCAAACTGTGTTCATGTTAAGGGGGGAAGAGGAGTTTCTTTCTCACAAGAGAAAGGTTCAAAAAGCTGGTGATATAAAACATGCAAAGACATTATAGAATTGAAAAGAGGTGTTGAGGAATTGGTGACAGAAAATATGCGAAGACAAATTGCAAAAGTAACCTGTCAATTAACAGAGTTGAGGAGTCAGGGGGGGATTGTGAGAGGAGAGATCACATGTCCATGACTAGTTTTGAAAACCCGTTTCTGAAACATGAGCGAAGGAGACATCTTCTTGATTGGGATGAGTATTGTGAAGATTTTGGTGATCCCGTTTATGGTGAGATAAATATAAATTGATATTTTCCATCAATTTATGATGTTTATTTTGATGATGATAATGTTAATAATGATATCATAAATAATAACTATAATAGTAATGATGTCATTGATGATGCCTTTGTTGATAAGTTAGAAGTTGAATGCAAAGAAAACATGGAAGATCAATAAAAGAAAATTATTGATTCAAACTATGATCTTTTTTATTACAAGTTTATTGTTATTATAAAGATAGATATATTCTAGGGTTATATGGATACAACACATGTTCATGAAGAAGTTTGAGGTTTGTAAGTTATTACTTTAAAAGCAAATGGAAGAGAAATAATTTGTCAATTGTTGTTTCTTGTATAAGTTTTAAGATGAAGAGATTAAAGTTAATGTCTAAAATTATTATATACTTGAAGAAGAAAGAAAAGGGGTTGGAGATTCTTGACTCGATATCTATGACATCGAGGCAAGAGTAATTTGAACTTGAGGACAGGTTTTTTTTAACCTAGAGAGACCGATGAATAAGATTTTTTTTAATGCATAGTTTTATGTTATTAAGCATATTTTTTTATCAATTGTTGAATCGAGCAAAAAATTTACTAGGAGATTCTAGATGTTTTGTTTCATATAGGATTAAAATTTTATAGCAATCAGAGATTGATGTCTTTTGCTAATGCCTAGAAGTTACTATTCGAGATTTGCTATATTTTACAAATTGGTTTAGGATTTTTTTTTCTATTTAGTTTAAAATTCTTTTATTATTTTTCCAGATTTATTTAGGATATTTTTCTATTTTGTTGAGGAATTTTATTAATTTTCCTTTAATTTTGGGTTTCTTATTGATTTATATAAGTTTTAAAGTTTATTTAGGGGGTCGTAAACCTTTCAGAGAGGCAAACTAATTGAAGAGATAATATCTAGTAATAAAATTTTAAATTAAGGTTTCTATTTGATCCTTATTCAGTATAATTTAGTATAATTTTGTGGTGTTGTGCTTGCCATCTTTCTTGTGTTGCTTCCTTCTAAGTCACACATGCATATTAATTTTTCTATTTTATTTTATCATCAACTTCTAAAAGCATAGCTCTCTTATCATGGTATTCTTGTAAAGTGTCATATGAACATAGTTCCATTACTAAGAGTATGCAGGAAAATATAGATAGCTACTTGGTGATGGGTATTTTCTGATAGCTTTTGGTATTGTCGATTTGATGTTTTGGTCAGGACTTTGTTCCAGAAGACCTTGAAAGTATATCTGGTTTTGAACCCCCTCATTCTCCAGTGTCAAGCTACAGCAACTTGCAACTTAGTAACGAGGATTTTGCGAAGGAGCCACCAATGGTTCCTCCGCACTTACAAATGACACTGCTCAATGTGCCATCATCCTGCATGGAGATACCGCCTCCTTTGTCAAGACCTCAACATGTCGTGCTTAATCATCTCTACATGCAGAAGGGAAAGAGCGGGCCTGCTGTGGTGGCACTTGGTTCAACACATAGGTTCTTAGCCAGGTATGTGACTGTGGTGCTTTACAAGTCTTTGCAGAGGTAATAATTTACTGCATCTGTGTGGGAGTTGTAGTTTACCATCCTTAAAATGTAGTTAAGATATGCCAATGGCTCAAGTAAGCTCAGGAAGGAGTCACTTCAAGCATTAAAAAGATTGTATTTTACAAAATACAAATGCTTGATCACCATTGTTAGTCAATTTAGCTGTTTGTTTTTATCACATTATGTAGTTGTTCTCTGCAATCATATGGGGAAAAGAAGAGCTCATAACTCTCTTGCGTAGGTTCATCTAATGCTTTCACCACATTATCGCAGTCTTCGATTGATTTAAGTGGATTGGGAACTACCTTAAACTGGCCTTATTCTCCTCTCTTTTTTTCCGAGAAGAAAATGGGTAGACACTTCAAATCTTGGTGCAGTTGTATTTTTTTTATTTATCTAGCAGAAGAGACTCTCTTGATTGCCCCCTCGTGGGAGATTTGTCTTGAATTTCTTCCACATGTTCATTTCTCATAGGTACTTCATCTTGGAAGCCTGGCGAGATTTACATTTAGATCCCATACAAATGCATGTGTTGAAGTCTAGCCATTATGCATGGGCTGCAAATCGAATGCCCTATAGATCTCAGTCCTTTTCACATAAATTTCTATAAGCTTCAATAGTTCAATTGCAAAAACGAGAAAGTATTCTAGAAATGCATGCATGTGTTTGGTTATCAAGGTAAAACTACTAGAGCAGCACATTCCCCTGGTGCCAAGACAAACCATTTCATAATTGAGGATAAATGGATGCCTCATCTTCTTATGTTTGCTAGCAAAATTGAAGAATAGAACTTCAACAAACATGTTATATATCACCACAAGATGGCATGATTGCGTACTACTGTGAATCGGCGCTGGACAAGTAATAGAAATTAAAAATATGATAATGCTAATATTTTATATTGGAAAAAAAATTAAAGATACGGTAAAGCTAATATTTTATGTTGAAAAAAAAAGTTGTGTGGGTGATAAAAAAAACTTAGAGACTGAACAAAATGATATATAGCAATTCATAGTGTTTTGGAGGAAATATATAGTGTTTTTGCTACATAATTTAACTTTTTTGTTAATAAAAAGAAAAAAATTATAAGATTAAATTCTCTACCAACTTAATAATAAAATAAAAACAATAAAAATAATTCTGAAGAAAAAAAACCTATGGAAAAAAATGTTGTAGCAATTAATAGTGTTTTGTGAGAAAAACTATGCTTTTTCAATATGATTTAATTTTATTATAATTATAATTCTTAACCAACTCAATATTCCAAAAAAAAAAATCAACATAGATAATTTTTAAAAAAATCATTAAAACATCATATGGGAAAACAATATAACAATTCATAATGTTAAAAAAAATTACAAAACTTAATTTTTAATCAACCCAATATTAAAAAAATCAAATTAATAGAGACAATTTTAGAAAAAAATAACAAAAAAAACATAAAAAAAAAATCATGTTGGAAACATTGTAGCAAACATAAAAAAAAATCATGTTGGAAACATTGTAGATTTACAGTGTTTTATAATGAAAGTTACAATATTTTCCCATATGATTTAGTTTTATTTGTAATGACTTGTAATTGTAATTCTCAATAATGTTTTATGATGAAAGTTATAATGCTTTCTCTATATGATTAAGTTTTATTATAAAGTTAAATTTTAACCAACTGAATATTAAAAAAATATAAAATCTATGAAGATAATTTTGAAAAAACATATTACAAAAAAAAACAAAAGAAACTAAAAAAATCATGTGAGGAAAAAATATATTAATCCATAGTGTTTTGTGAAAATAACTTGTATTTTCTTGTAATTGCAATTATTAACCAGCTTAATATTTAGAAAATAAAACTGAATAAGATAATTTTAGGGAAAAACATAACAAAAAAAAATCATGTGGAAGAAAATACTATCAATCTATAGTAATTTGCGAGGAAAGTTACAGTGCTTTCTTTACATATTGTAACTGTAATTTTTAACCAACTCAATATTAAAAAATAAAATAAAATAATAAATTTTTGAAGAAAATCATAAAAAAAACAAAAAAACCATGCAGAGAAATACTGTAGTAATCAATAATTTTTTAAAAAAAAATTACAAAACTAAATTCTCAAAAAAAACCATGCAGAGAAATACTATAGTAATCAATAATTTTTTTAAAAAAAATTACAAAACTAAATTCTTAATTAGCTCAATATAAAGAAAAATGACAAATATAATTTTGAAGAAAAATAAAATAGAAAAACTATGTGGAAAAACACCATAGCAATCTATAGTATTTTAAATAAAAAAAATACAAAGTAAAATTTTTAACCAGCTCAGTATTTAAAAAGTAAAATTAATAAAGATAATTTAAAAAAATAAATGGAAAAAATGGAAAAATGGTAAAAAAAATGCAAAAAAAAAAAACATTAAAAAAAAGAAGAAATGCAATATGGATTATTGTTGTAAAATTGTAATTCATAGTGCATTATTTCCCCACACCTTTCAATTTTATGTATAATGAGATTGGTTTGGTGGAGGTTTTAAATATTACTGTCTTTCATAATTTAAATAATGTATCTTGTCTTTTATAGTGATTTATCATTCAAAAAACAATTTAATTAGAATTTTGTTATAACAAAACAAACTAAAGCGAAAAGGTGCAAGGGTTTATGCTGTGATAAATATTATTTGCATACTCACGATGCATTATGGGTAGAACAGTACTATTTTTATTTTGATCTCTTAATTTATTTTTTTTATTGTGTTTTATAATTGCAAGATTAACATCCAAATGCTTTAAATTTATTGACCAGGGATAAAATTAAAAGATAGAGGTCTAACTTAGAAAAAATATTGAAAATGGGTGGTGTGTTTGACATATAAAATACACTTTAATCCTTTAATTTATAAACTTAGATCCTTTTGGTTCCTTATATTTTTTCTAAATTCAATTTTGATATACAATTTTATTTTTATGTCCCTTGTTTTTTAAAAAGAGAGAAATTTTCGTCGAATTTGACATATAGAGAGAAAGTTATTATTTTCACATATTTTGGCCATCAAATTAGTTGATATTGGTGTCCAAGAGTTCTATTTGATGAAAGGAGTTGGATAATAATGGTTTCAAACTTTGATATTATCTAAAAAGTATATTAAAATTGAAAAATAAAAATCTAAGCTTCTTTAATTTCATGTTTTGGTGTTGATCTTGAAGTTTTTTGAGTTGATAAATTAATTTTTAAGTGTTGTGATGATGTTTATGAGGTGTGTTTTTTGATTAAAATGAACTTTAAATAAAAAAGAAATTTTTGAGTAAAAATAACTCTAGCTAATTTTTTAACTATAATTATGGTAGTCAGATTCTAGACAAACAAGAAACATATCTTTTACTTTAGCAAGCAACTAATCATCTTATTTATTAAATTTAATTAAAAAAAGGTTGGCCCTTTTAAATATATAAAAAAATCCAAATATGCAGGTCTAAGTCACTAAACCCAGACACCTAAGCTTTTTTCATATAGGCCTAGATGCACTAAGTCATTAGGCTCAGGCGCTTAGGCTCTTCTATGAGGATTGTTTTTTTGAAATTCTATTTATTTTTTATTTAGGTGTAACATAAATTTAATTAAAAAAATTATTAGACCTAGTTGAGTTCTTAGAACAAATTGATGATTCAACAATTTATGACACAACATTTTGACACGTGTTCTAATATTTTTTTAATTAAAATTGACTAAAATCATGATATATTTTTAAAATTTTAGCTTAAATTTTTTTATAACTCTTTTATTTACTTATAAATTTAATATGATTTGTGGTCAATAACTCAATGAAAGCCTTAACGAGAAAAGAATAAACTGAGAAAAAAGAAATGCAAATTATCCAATTAGGTTAATTGATTATGGTAATGTTCATTACTTAGGTTGTAAAGTTTGCATGTTAACCCGGGATGATATAATTTATCTTCGTCTTTTCATTTCACTCTCTTAGTATTTTTTTTTTCTAATTTAATCTTTTGATAATTCTTTGGTTTAACATTCAAGAGCTAGATAAGACTAAAATGATAGAGATTTTTTTTTTAATTAGATTATTATTTGAGTGAGGCAACCAATTTCTTGCTTGACCGCTTTATTGATCAAGTTATACCAATATTTATTTTTTATTTATTAATATTTATGATATTCAATTAATTTATTTTAATTTATTTTAATATACTTGAATTTTTAATTATAATTTAAAATATTTCATCACATGTAAGTTATTTGTATTTTTAAATGCAGTTATATATTTTTTATCCAATGTAAAGCAACCGCAACGAATCACAGCCTAAAACCTAGTTTTATCTAATAAATAAACTGAAACATTCAATATCTTTGTGTATGGAAATGTGTTTGAACATTTTGCTAGCGATCACAAGGTACAAAATATTCTCTCAAAATATAAACAAACAAGAAAAGGTTAATCATCATGTCATGAGCTTAATAGTAACCACCTAACCTAGAAATGGCCAAGGATGAATCAGACCGTTGATACTACTACCGTGATCCCTGGATGAGCTAAATAAGTGGATCATCTCTTAAATTCTGACATGAACTATTGACTATTGAGGTGGTTGGTAATTAATGATTGGCAGTTAAGTTTTAAAAAAACACCTCAAACTAAGATCATGGTACATTACATTATTTCTGACACGATATCATAGTACATTACACTTACAGCACAGAAGAAATGACAACAACAGCAGCTTTTCTTTCTTCCTTTGCAGTCTTCTAACGTTAATATCATCCAAAAATGGACAAACCACAAGTGCAAAACTAACATGTCCGAATTCGTCGAGCTTTCACTCCATTTGTTGATAAGGAAGTTGGTTATGCATTTTAAGCTTTTTTGTTAAGAACCAATGCTTGCTGTCTCTTTGATAGGCCAATGAAACAAAGAAAAGAAGGCCTATTGAAAGAGACTCTAGGGCTATAACCCCAAGAGATTAATTGACCAAGCTTAAGTTTCTTGTTTTCGATCCTTCACTGTGGCTGACATTCCCTTGGAACAGATAAAAAATGAGTGTGCTGGTCTTGTAAGCATTTATCATCAACACTTAACACATGTTTGTTTGTTTTCTCTAGTGTAGTACTGTGCTTTTCAGTTAGGTTGATGACTGATGAGACCTAATGACAAATGTTGTTGTTTTGTTTTTGTGCTTGTGCTGGAGAAAATCCCTGTTGAAGAAGTATTTGAAAAGCTAAAATGGACAAAAGAGGGGTTGAATACAACAGAAGGTGAGGAGAGGCTTGAGATCTTTGGCCCTAACAGGCTTGAGGAGAAAAAAAGAGTAAAGTCCTCCAGTTCTTGGGTTTCATGTGGAATCCTTTATCATGGGTCATGGAGGCAGCTGCCATTATGGCCAATGGAGGAGGCAAGCCACCAGATAGGAAAGATTTTG